ACTCTCCCCCCTTCCCCCCCTTCCCTCACACCCAGATCTTGATGTTGACCTGCCTGCTGGAAAAATTTGCATGTATTCAAGTCGTACGAGCTCACAAATGTTTTTCATTGCATTTCATTCAAGGTTATAGGTAAGGTTTCTTATGAGACAGCACTTCTTTTCCAATGTGGAAGCGCTTGTCTCTATATATATTGCACGTAAAATACATCAAAATAAGTAGACTCTTTTGCAAGCATTTTCAGTGTTGATCCGACAAATCTGTCGACCATAAATATGTGTTCCAACAATAATAATAACAGCTTTATTGAAGTGTCAATGTATTTAGTATTAACTAATAATTGGGAACAAGCTCACAGAGGGTTTCTTTCCCTTTGTTATCTTTTCAATCAGGAAGCAGAAGTGTAAACAAAAGACAGGGTAAAAATCATTTAAACTTATCAAAATCAAGTATTTGGGAGTTTCTTTCCAAGTTTATGTGCATTTCACATCCCACTTAGAGTTCAGATCAATGTACTAAACTAAACAAGACAAGTATAGAAAACACAGCTTTAATCTAAACTTAACTCGATGCCGGTTGAACATGGACAACTCAACATGAAAAACTTAAGTGTCTAAACTGCAAAGCGGTGAACGAAGGTCCTGCTTGATTGAACGTTGGATCTCACAGCAGATCTAATCAGCCAAACTTGAAAAGTAGAACGATAATACGTCACTACTGCAAGGTTGACACAACGTCGTAGAGTTAAAACAATATTTCGGCTGGCCTCAGGTCTAGATGTTACTAAATTATAAAAATGAAATTACAATATTATACAATGGTGCCGATGTTTGTCTTGTATTCAATAGCTGTTTTGTTCATTAAAAGTTGTTCGTTTTGCTCATATAAGCTCATTAAGGTTGAGGAATAAGACACATTCTCATCAAAGCTTACCACATTAGCTTTTCAGGTCACTTTCCAGCAAACAAATGCACATCTCCTAGTCATTTTGAACGCCTGGACGACTCAAATGCTCCTGAAATTCAGCCTTCAAGTTGGCCATAGTACTAATTTGAACATTCGAAGTCAACTCCACTTCAATTTAGCGAAATACCTAATATTAATGGTTGTGTAAAAGCTACAAAATCATCAATATTCGGGCTGGGATGATGCATGCATTGAGTAGTAGGCTCGCACTGACTGAACGGTTACTATTCCAATACGGCGTTGGACTTGGTTTCTATTTCACTATTCGTTCGGGCCGACTAATTACAAGCAGTGTCTACACCTGAGTGAGTGAGTGAGGGACACATTTGCATATCGGAGTCCCCGCAACAAACACGTTTCTTTGCTTTGCGTATCCACGAGTTTAAAAAGTAGTAGTTTGAAGAAAATAAAAGAAAACCCTTTGTGTGCTGATTATTAATGCTAGATGGAAATTAAATTAGATAGTACAAATTAGTTGCTCTGATTATGTTTTCTGTCTCAGAAGGTAATGTTTCTGTTTACTTATGATCTGCAGACAATGAAGACTGTACGATGCAAGAAACTTATCATTGACCAGTCAAAGACACCAGTCAAAATGGGAACATTTAAGGACATATCACTCTTTGGCAATTTCAAATTTCCATCCAATGGCTCATATGAAGGTGGCATAACAGCACAATCACTCGCTGGCCATGGAAAATGCTTGAGCAAGACAAAATCTCAGGTCCAGTTACTTTCTTCCAGAAATATGCCAATTGCTGGAGCCCCGGGTGCTACAGTAACAGAGGAAATGCGGCAACCATCAGATGAAACATTAGAAGGACAGCATGCAGCGGAAACAGAATCATACTCCATAAGGTATATTCAGCTATGTTTAGCTACCCCTGAAGATGCAGTCCTCAGACCTTGTAGCAACATTGAGCCCCCCAGTGACCTGAGGCCATCTTCTGGGTTTGCTCTCAAGAAAGGTGGGGCTAAGAAGACCACTTTCACAAAAGCCCAGAAAGATATTATGATAACATTCTATGATCGTCAAAAGTCTTCCTCAGATTAGAGCTAATCCAAGTGATGTGATAGAAGCAATGAAGGCTGCTGGGTTTCCAGAACTTAAAGAATTGCAGATCAAAAATTGGTGGAGTACATACCACCGTAAGCAGAAACAACCAGCAGAAGACATGATTGAGGAAGCATGTCAGCTAATGTTGCAGCAACCAGGTACTATATGGTACTATATACCTAGTTAGAAAATAGCCCAAAGAAAATACATGTGCTGATTGGTTTAAAATCATGTTTCTATAACTCGATAGAAACACAGAAGTAGCATGAGCTGTTGACACGATGGTATGAGCAAAGCGAATTTACACCTTGATGGCTTGCGTTCCCACAGGATTTCTCATTCCCCAAACATTCACTTGTGTTTCCATAACTTGATAGTAACACAGTACGTGTTTTCTATTTCTTTATTATGTATATAATATGCAATGTATTGTGTGTATATAAATGTACCCTTAAGGACTCAATTCAAATTCAAATACTCAACTCCCAAGAAATGGAAAACTGAAAATTATTTTTTTGCTTTTAAGTTGCCAGACCCCTTTTGTCAGAAGGGAGTGACTTTTCATTATACAATAAAGGTATTTTCCTCTATCTGTTTAAAGGAACTGTTACATTTGAAGATATTAACGACTTGGCCCAACCACTCTCTCAAATATGCTCTGATTCAAACCAGGGGACCTCCACCCTTCAGGATGGACAAGTCCTTCCCACCTGTTCATCACAAACATGGCCAAGCCCTACTGCTGATGCACCAACTGTGCCTTTGTTGCTATGTGCTAGCCAACATTCATTGACTGGATTACCAGCTGGACTGCCATCACAAGAAGGGATAATGGCCACAACTCTTATTTGTCTGGAGTTACTACGTGGACTTTCTCTGAATCAAAATCAGACATTCGGGGTAGGACTGGCAGTAATGCCTGTGTGTTTGTTGCCCTATACATGGGGAAATTATGTTCTCAAAGAAATTTGTCTTGGCTTACTGGTGACTCTCTACCCAATTCTTGGCGAAGATCTTTCCCGGAAGCAATGATCAAAGGAAACAAAATCCACGATGATCTGTTTGATCATGACACAACAAACATCACTGTTGATGATACCGTTTCCATGGCAGAAGAATGTGGGGTTGAAAGACTGGGACAACAGATTGATATCTTTGGCATAAATCCAGTCAATCAGTTGGCCAATGTTCTAGTACAAGAGGTGCAGATTTGTTATCCCGATCATTTAGTGTTATTGTTTCACATGACCATGCTTTTCTTGTTGTAGTGAACCCTGACCAGTCTGGAATGCGTATTGACTCACATAGTCTTGGAAGCAGGGGGGCATTATAGCATACAGTCAAAAGAAAATATTACTTCCCCGCCGTTTGGCTGGATGCTATGATGAAGCAAACTGGCAGTGTTCACTCACTATTGCAACACTTACCAACATTTTTTTCTAACCTAATTGAAAGTCACAGGTCTTTTCACTGAGCTTCATTTGACTGTAACAATAACAGGTTCTGGTCGGCTTTCAAGTTTGAAGCAGCTTTCATTTACTTTAAAATGCACTTTACATGTACATGGGTTTTCATACACTAACGTCATCTGGTGCGTTATATATTCAAAGTGAAATCAAGGTTTTGTTTGTGACCCATTACTC